GAAGATATCTTCTATCCAAAGGTCATGTCTTTAACCCAATGGATTTAATTAATTTCCATTAAAATAGAAAATTAATATTAAATAAAATAATATTAAATTTGTCACACTAATACCCTTAGCCCAAGTCATTTGCTAACCTCTGAGGAGACTTCATAACTCAGCCTCTGAAGGAAATATGCATTTAAATTTAAAACTCATGGATTTTAAGGTACAACATACATGAATCAAACATTCAAAGAGGCGGAAGTGACTTTTAGATCTTATTAAGCCTAATGCTACCAAATTCCAAGTATCTTTCTAGGTCTAATCTCACTTATGCACAAAAGAAAATTGAGGAAATGATGAGACTTTCTTATCCTTGAAGATGGTCTCCGAGTTTTCACCTTTGGAAAGACCTTCTTCCTTGTTACTTGCTTCATAGAGTCTTCACAAGGTACCAAAGTAGATACCCTCTAGTTCATACACACAAACATAGTGTAAGAGATGAAGAAGATGATCAATAGGAGGTAATGTGCTAGCCTTTTCCTCTTGGTGGCCGGTTCTAGCATGGTAGAATGGAGATTTCTCTCCTCTCAAACCCACTCCAAAGTTGGATTCTTCAAACCTTGGAAAGAAAACAGTCTGTTTGCACCGAATGCCTCAATAGCAACCGAAGCCCTTGCTTGAAGACATCGGTGAAGAAGACCACCTCACCCTACAGATTGCTTAAGGACTCCAGTGGCCCTGGGATCTGCATCATTACCGAATCTGGAATGTGATACTCAGCCTTAATCTTTGCCAACTCACCCTCGGTCAAGGCGTTCGGCTCTAGGAAGTCCACGCCAAAAAGGGGACCTTTCAGCCTCGCTATCGACACCTTAGGCCAGCCGATAATGACAGTCAGGACACCTTCCCCGGGAGCGGCAACTGACACATCAGCCTGGTCACCTCGACTCAGATGGATGTCGATGGCTGATAACTATCCACTTCAACCACTATTAGGCTTGAAGTACTCCCAGAATCGGTAGGCACCTATGTACCCCATCCTATCTCAGCGCTCTTAAAGTCGGCACTCTCAAGCTCCGCTGTGGAGCTCCCCGAGGACGATTCTCCCTCGAACGCCCTTGGACTACCACTATATTCGGATTTGGTATATGACATCTACAAACAGAGGCGAAGGGAAACTAAATGCCATGCCAGAATCAAACTATGATCCTAAAGCCTAAAAGCTCATGCTCATCTACGTTCAACTACATCCATACATGTTCATGAAACAATTGAAGAGCTTGATTCAATTTGAAAGAAAACACGACAACTTACCTTGTTCACACGGTGGTGGGAGGTCGCCGGAAATTGCCTCCGCCTTAAAACCTTTGTGGGAAATCGCCTACGTTGCCGCAAATCACTCGCCAAAAATCGCCTATCACGAATTCTAAGTACCCCTCTCACCATAGCTTTGTCCTACTTATAGAACGAACCTAGCATCAAGAAACAAAACGATGCGACCTTTCGAACTCTTTCTAACATGTGTCAAGCATGCACAAGGAAGCCCAAGAGTCATCACATCCAACCTGAAGGAACACTTCAATTCTCAAACTTTTCGAGCACGAACACCATCCACGAACGGCAAACACACATTGGTCGAGTTTTCACTCACCTCTCATGCTGAATGGCAGGTGCACATTGGTTGAGTTTTCACTCACCTCTCATGCTGAATGGCAGGTGCACATTGGTTGAGTTTTCACTCACCTCTCATGCTGAATGGCAGGTGCACATTGGTTGAGTTTTCACTCACCTCTCGTGCTGAACTTCAGGTGCACATTGGTCTAGTTTTCATTCACCTATCGTCCCGAACGACAGTAGCACATTGGTCGAATCTTCACTCACCTCTCGTATCGAACGGCAGACGCACATTGGTCGAGTTTTCATTCACATCTCGTCCTAAACAGCAAGCGCACATGTCAACCATCAAAGACACTCCCACAAGTCCCACATTGACATACACCACTGATTCATCACGTTCTTCAATTGACACGTGCTCCTGAGTGCCCCCTTTAACAGACTATCGATACCTGATACCAAACAACCCTCGAGCACGCGTTCAGCATGCCTGCCGACCCTACAAGACAACCTCGGACCTCCCGCCAAGGCATGTCGGGATACATGTCAACCATCAAAGACACTCCCACAAGTCCCACATCGAAACTAAGTGCCAAATGAGCACCAATACTCTTAATAAATAAGGCCTCTGGCCCCAGACACAGGGTAAGACTTCTGATTGATTTGTGCTTCCACACTGTTAATAATTTGCTCTTAGTCGCTAACTTTGGCATCGCAAGGTCTTCGACTGGCACCACACTGGTGCTTTAGACCTCACCTGCCATTTCTCTCCTCAACCTAAATCCAGCATCGCACCCTGAGGAAGGACGTCATGGACCGAAGGCCCCTCCGGTCAAAACTGTCCACATCACCTGTAAGTTAGCCCTATCTTTATCTGTTTAGTTTTAGCGCGAACATAGTCTAAGTGTGGCTTATATAAGCCAATACAAAAGATGAAGCAAAACCCCATCCTTGTATTTTAGCCATAGTGTTTCTAGGGCTCATTTAACTTATGTTGTCATACAACACATGTTCTCTTGGGCTCATTTAATTCCAATTTTGTTAGATCTTGGAAATAGTTTGGAGTTCAATACCAACGAAGTTTTGATCTTAAAATCACTCTTTGAAAACTCATGTTTCTAACAAGAATCATAGTTTTTTAATTTACTTTTTTAAGTAGGATACCAAACAGGGCTTAAAGCTCCCGAAATATTAAGGCTTATTTTATGATATGCCCCCTCAAAGTGTATTTGAGTCTCACTTTGCCCTTGAAACACATTTTGTCTCACTTTACTCCTTTTTTCACACATATTTGTCTCACTTTGTCTAGATTCCGACGAGGCCAACAATTTCCGGTCAAAATATTAATTAAAAACTCAATAATATACATTATGTTTTAAATATTTAATCTTATTTAAAATTGAGTTTTTAATTTTTAATTAATATTTTGACCAGAAATTGTTGGCCTCGCTGGAATCGAGGCAAAGTGACTCAAATATGTGTGGAAAAGGGAGTAAAGTGAGGCAAAATGAGTTTCAGGGGCAAGGACAAATCCAGGAAAGTGGGCTAATATTTTTTCTTAGCTTTGGGGTATGTTGCAAATGACAAATATAATGGATACAATTAAAATATTTCAAAACCAGAAAGTAACAAATAAAATAATAAAATAACATCTTTAAAAAGAAAATCTAAAACAAACCTTTCTCCTTCTCTCAGAAATACTATGCAGCTAGAAGAAGCAATGCAAATGCAATTCAACACAAGTAATCCAAACTACAGAGGGTCAATTGTTCATGCATGTACGTGCTTCCTATTGTTTGAAAATCGCTTTTCTCTACTGTTTGAGTTACTATAAGTACTTTGGGAACCGTCCTGTACATAAAAGAAGGATAATTATCTGGTAAAAGTATATTTTTGTTAAAAAACATCGATTCTACGATGACCTTAGTAGGGCTCTGTTTCCACATCATGAAACTGCTCGGCAATTCATCACCTTTGACAATTTAACATTTTGTCGTCCAAAATATCCAATAAGGCCTTGTTTTTTTATTGCCGATTCAAAGACATCGGATTAAAATCAAAGACGTGTTGGCTTCGTCTCATACAAAAGTGGTCACAGAAATGAATGGTCTTGTGTTATTCGGATGTCACATTATTTTCTGTCTCTATCTAAGAAAAATTAATTTTCTAATCCAATAGAGAGCACATCCGCTATAAACTAATAATAGTTTAGTCCTTCACTTTAATAAATTTGAGAAGAAGAAAAAGTGATAAATTGGAAAAGTCATGAGATGAGTATTTAGAATTCTAGATGAATATTTCAAACTCTAAATTAAATGGCTCAATAGTAATAATAATAATAATATTCAATGTGGATGTCACTTGTAAAAGCAGCTTCTTTTTAAAGTTTTTGAACATTTGGTGTTTGGTAAAACAGGAATAGTCTGCCTTTTTTCAAAACTGGGTCATTTTTCCCAAATGACAGCCCTTATCCCTCCTGTTCTGCACTCTTCTTCTTCCTTCTTCTCACTGCAGGCTGGGTCAGTTCTTTTTTCAGGAGTAATCAATCTGAATTTTATGTGTTGATTCAAAAACTTTATTAAATTTCACGAGTAATCAATCTGAATTTTATGGATGTCACTTGCTCAGAGATTTTTATTTTTATTTGTTGAGATTATTTTTAAATTTTTAACATTTTAATATATTTCTCATTTACAATTAATTATTAAGTTTTTTATTTTGTCTACTCGTGGATTATTATTATTATTATTATAAGTGTATAATATTATTAAGATTATATAAATAAAAAACTTGTAAATGTATTGTAAATTTCTTGTATTTTTGGAAAAAAAAACATAAATAAATACGACACTACTTTTTATACTCACAACACTTTTACAAATATAGATTATTAAACACGTACCTGCTTTATTTCGCAGCCGTTTATTCTCGCAGCACAACAGAAGCAAGTTTTTTTTTTAAACACAACAATACCAAACTAAGCCTTAGCCAACTGCATGTGGGAACTTAGAAAAGTGGCACCATCTAATCATATGCAACTTGTAAAGAAAGAAAGAAAAAAAATCTATGCAAGACTTCTGAAGTCAACATTGTCTTGATGCTGAAGTTGTCAATATATACATTTTCAACAGATATGTGAATAGAAAGTGGTCAGGAGTTCATGTATGCAAATCCTTCCTATTGTTTGAAAATCATTTTTCTCTACTCTCTGTTAGAATAAGTAGTTTGGGAACCATTGACAAGAACATGATCAATTTGAGGAGGATGTTGAGGCAACAATGGCCTCTTTCAGCGTCCTTTGGCTTCTTTTGCAGTCTATGCTGTCTCAGCTGCTTCTGGTTTCAAGTGTCCATGGCTCAAAATGCTACTACCGATCCATCTGAAGGTAAAGAAGATATATTTTTTGTTTTTTGTTTTTTCTTTCCTTTTGCAACATAAGTACGTTATGTGATGTGTACACATGATTGAATTGAGTGTGCAGTGGAGGCGTTGACCTCAATATTCCGGCAATGGGACATGCTAGCCCTGACCATCCGTGGAGGAGAGCCATGCATTGGATTTGCCATCAATGGAAGCGAGTTTGAAAACCAAGAGAATAATCCAGCCGTCAGTTGTGACTGTACCTATGACAAAAATACTACCTGCCACATTACCAAACTGTATGTTACCCTCCTCTCTCTCTCTCTCTCTCTCTCTCTCTCTCTCTCTCTCTCTCTCTCCTTATTCTTTTTTTTTGTGTTTTTGTCTGTATAATATAACTATATCAAGTTTAGAAAACTAAGCAGAACATGCCTGATATATCAATTGTAATATTAAGTGCCTGACTGCTCAATCTTTTTTCTTTCCAGTCGAGTTCATGCTCTGAACAAACGAGGGATGTTTCCAAAAGAATTTGAAGCTTTAAGATATCTGGCCGTTTTGTATGAAGTTTTTCCAACCCCCTTCTCTGTTGTTTGGTTTATCGCAGTTAACATTTTCATACAAAAGACACAGGTTTCTTACCGTTCAAAATTGTCACGACTATTTTTTATACTCAGAGATTAATCGCTGGTCATTGCATTTTGTTTCAATTCTTGTAGGAAACTTGATAAGAACTATTTCACCGGTCCCCTACCAGCATTCATCGGCAATATGTCTGCGTTGATAGTATTGTAAGTAGTGAAATATAGACTCCCAAGTGAGTTATACCATATGGCCAAAGAAGCACATAGTACTATACATAAAATTACTCTGTTTTTATCCTGAATTATAAACGGGTGCTAATATCTTTAATTGATATTTCCATTCAGGTCAATTGCCCACAATTCATTCTCTGGGCCCATCCCGAAGGAGCTTGGAAACCTTAAGGAGCTAGCTATGCTGTAAGCAACGAAACATAAGAAAACACAATTAAATTTTGTGTTTTAGACAAATGAGAAATGCTCTATTGGGACATGTTAAATATAGAACCCCCTATCATTTAATTCTGTACCTCTTCAACATGACTTGTTGCAGGTCCCTTGGATCAAATGATTTCTCCGGAACACTCCCTCCAGAACTTGGTAATTTAGTCAATCTCGGGCTATTGTGAGTGCTTCATTTAACTCATCGAATTTGAATCACATGTTGCAATGTGTAATTATTTTCTCTTCAAGGAGCAGTTTATTTGTTAATTCATTATCGATGTGCAAGGAATGCGTTTATCGTATGAAATTGGTAGTAATCAGTTTATTATTTTCACAGTTACATGGACAGCTGTGGACTCGGTGGTGAAATTCCTTCAACATTTGCTAAGCTCATCAACATGCAAGTCTTGTAAGTTTTTTGTTTATTCAGTACTTTGAGATTTCTATTCTGGGATGAGCTTACTATGAGTCAACTTTTTGAATTTTAGCTGGGCACAAGACAATCCTTTATCAGGAAAGATACCTTCTTTCATTGGAAATTGGAGAAAACTAACTTTTTTGTAAGTATGGCAAACTTTTAACCTTCTGCATGGCTGAGATGGGTCTTTTATTCACAAGCATCTCAAATGTTTTTGTAGGAGATTTCAAGGGAACTCTTTTGAAGGCCCAATACCAACCAGTTTTTCTCAACTGACTTCATTGGAATCTCTGTAAGGGCAAATGCTTAATACATTTTAAACTCTCTCTCTCTCTCTCTCTCTCTCACACTACACTAGCATCACTTATGTTTGTGTATGATAATGCAGGCGAATCAGTGATATATCTAATGTGAGCTCGTCTCTTGATTTCATAAAAAATTTGAAGAACTTGACTGATTTGTAAGTTAACACCTCGTTCATTCACGCACTGTGATCAAACTTCGTTTTCCTTTTCAAATTGAAAATCTTACTCCATTTACTTGTCCACTAATTTTTTTCGGTGGTGTAACAGAGTTCTACGGAATACATTAATCAATGGTAGCATCCCTACTGAGTTTGGAGAATATCAACGTTTACAGATACTGTACGTTCCAGTAGATATATAAGCTTGAATCCCAAAGATACCGATTAATTTTCTTATCATTCTAATTGTTCCTCTAACTTATCATTCATGTTGCAGGGATCTGGGTTTCAACAATTTAACAGGCGAACTCCCAAGTTCTTTGTTCAACATGAGTTCTCTTAAATATTTGTAATAAGGCCTGCCTTCATTATTCCTCTTTTCTATAGTTATGCCATTGAATTTCCTGCTCAGAAACATAGTCGTTCATCTTACCTTTTTCTTTTTTTTCTTTTTTTTTTCTTTTTTTTTCTTTTTTTTTCTGGGTGCCTCCTATAATTGATATGGCCAGATTTCTTGGAAACAATAGTTTGTCTGGACCTCTTCCAAGCCAAAAGAGCAATCAACTTCAGACTATGTAAGTCCTAATGTCATAAAAGTATGCTATATGTACTGGCAATGAAACCAGTACTCTGTGTGTGTGTTTGCACGCATTCTGGCAGCCTTTTTCTTACTTAAATTCCTTTGAACTTTCATGCATTTTTGTGCCTTCTCATTCTGTATTGTTATGTGCAGAGATTTGTCTTACAACTATTTCTCAGGAAGCTTTCCCCCATGGGTAACCACAATATTGCAACTGTATGTCTCCTTTTTATCTTTCACCTTCATTTTTATGGTCCAAATCACCTTCATTGTGCATATATAATACCACATGAATGAAATTCAATAAATTAGAAGGGATGGATTTGAAGTACTGATATGTTGAGATCTTGAACACAAAATTCTCATCTTCATATGTGGATTGATTAATGATTTTATGCAAGAATTTAGTGGTCAACAACTTCACATTTGACAGTTCAAACATAACGTGAGTTGAATCGAATAACCTTTTTTTTAAACGGATAGTTCAAACATAAAGTGATTGCTATTACACTTTTGCAGTTTAATGGATTTTTCCACTACAGTTTAATGATTATAAATAATAATTGTTCTCTGTGTTTACAGTCTTCCTGGATTGAATTGCCTCCAGAGGAATTTTCCATGCAATCAAAATACACCACGATGTAATCTTCTTCTATATTTCACTAGCATTTATTTCTTTAATGCAAGATCATGTTACAGCAATAGGCATTGCTTATCTCATTATGTATACATATTGTAGGAATGTCTTGATAAATCTAGTAAGCATATCTTGTGCTATTACATCAGTTTGAATTTTTTGTCACTAATCATAGCTTCTGCTATTACATTGAATTGTACAGATACAAACTTCTCAATTATGTATTGCAATAATGCATTATTAGTACTTCAACCTTTCTTCCTCTTTCTTCTCCCTCTCTTTCTTCGCTGAAACCGACCTGCATCAAACCATTTGCTTGGTCATGAACCTACTGTGTGGTCGGCAGATGAGAGTGGCGGGTCGATGTTGGTCCCATAATTTCCTTCATCGACTTGATCAGTTTCAGTTTGGTAGGCAGTTCTAAGCACTTGGTCAGGTTAATCAAACTGTGCGTAGCCCTAATCAGCCTCCGAAACCAATGCACTGCATTGAAATGTGGAAAGTCCTTTTGAATCTACAGAGCATGCACTGCATTGGAATGGGAAAAGTCCTTTTGAACATCCAGAGCATGCACTGCATTTGAATGCGGCAAGTCCTTACTGAATGAACAATTTTCCAACACCCCATCAATTATTTCTCTTGTTGGTTCTTATTATGAATGATTACCATATGCATTCAGCCCTGCATTCTTCAACTTAAGGTGATTGTTTTCCCAGGTTTCTGTTTATTATTTAGTAATCTTTTTGTCTTAGTGCTCGATCTTTCTTTTCCTTGTCATACTCTTGCAGATGGACAACCGAAGATGGCAGGACTTAGAAATGGACCGATTGACACTGAACAATTATTCTGTTTCATTGCTCAGATCTTACACCAACTACTCCGGGAAAGAAGAGCAGGATTGGGTTGATAGTTGGTATTGCAGTCCCTGTCGGAGTAGTGATCTTGCTATTATTATTTGCAGTTTTATATATGCGGAGAAAAACATCAGAAAAATATGACGATGAAGGTAAAAGAGCAATGAGCATATTATTAAGGGTTAATTCTGCATGCGGTTCTAGGTTCTTTCTAGTGTTGATAAGCATATTTGAGAGAAAATACTTCTGATGTGTTGTTTCGAAATTTAAACCTATGTCATACCCTCTTTTGAATATGCAGATCTTCTAGGATTAGGCCCCCGACCAAATACTTTCAGTTATGCTGAGTTGAGAGCTGCAACAGAAGATTTTAATCCTTCAAATAAGCTAGGAGAGGGAGGATATGGACCTGTTTATAAGGTGAAATCTATTTTTCATCAATATCTGCTACTTTAAAGTAATTACTTGACTTCTTACAAAAAGAAATTGAGAGAGAAGCAAAATAGATTCTTTTTACTCCCCTTTCATGTCACTGAATTGTATTTCTATTTATAGGGTACACTATCTGATGGGAGGGTAGTGGCTGTGAAGCAACTTTCAGTGGCATCTCACCAAGGGAAGAGTCAATTTGTAACTGAGATTGCTACGATATCTGCAGTCCAACATCGCAATCTAGTGAAATTGTATGGATGCTGCATTGAAGGAACCCAGCGCATTTTGGTTTATGAGCATCTTGATAACAAGAGCCTTGATCAGGCACTTTTTGGTAGGTTTTATAGAAACAGAATACCCTGCAGTTTCAAGGACTCTAAAAGTTCATCCAAGTTTTTTACGCAACCATTTTGTTATAATTTTTCTCTGCTGAGGAGTGAAGTTTAAAGAAACCAAAAGAGTAATATTCGAATCATGTGAAATTAAAAACCTGCACGTTCTTTTGCTACTTTCCCTTCCATTTTGCAAAAAAAAAAACAGAATACTCTGCAGTTTAAAGTACTCTAAGGTTACATCCAATTTTTTTTTCTTTTTCTCTTCTACTTGTTATTAGTTGTTAACATGCATTGGTTCTTCTCCATGTAATGTTTCAGGAAGAAATGACTTGCACCTTGACTGGCCTACCCGCTTCAATATATTGTTGGGAACAGCAAGAGGACTTGCTTACCTTCATGAGGAGTCAAGGCCCAGGATTGTACATCGAGATGTCAAAGCCAGTAATATTTTGCTCGATGCAAAACTCTCCCCAAAAATATCAGATTTTGGATTGGCAAAGCTTTATGATGATGAAAAAACCCACATTAGCACCCGGGTTGCAGGGACAATGTAAGCCTCCGTTTAAGTTATACATTGTCAATCGTGACAAGGGTGTAAAAGCAACATTTTTAGTAACCATTTCATGATCTTGTAGAGGTTATTTGGCACCGGAGTATGCAATGCGTGGACATCTGACAGAAAAGGCTGATGTTTTCGGTTTTGGGGTTGTTGCTTTGGAGATCATCAGCGGGAGACCAAATTCTGACAACAATTTGGATCTTGAGAAGATTTATCTTCTTGAATGGGTAGGGAAATTTAGCCTAGCTACTTTAATTTTAGCATTGCTGTGAAAACTTCTTTATTTTTTTTCCTTTTTGACCATGCCATGATGTTTGTTTTCAGGCATGGACTCTACATGAAAAGGACCAGAGTCTGGGGCTGGTGGATCCGAGATTGACGAAGTTTGATGAAAGTGACGCAACTAGATTGATAAAAGCAGCTCTCCTCTGCACTCAGGCTTCACCGATGATGAGGCCATCGATGTCACGTGTGGTGGCAATGCTTTCTGGAGATATTGAAGCAAGCACTGTTATGTCAAAGCCAAGTTATTTGACAGATTGGGATTTCAAAGATGTAACCACAAGTAGCTTTTTGGTGGATGGTGATACCTCATCAACTGAGACAACCCTATCAACCATGTCATCTTCATGTTAAGCATTCACAGCAGGTTGGGATGTATGAATTCCTTTGTACTTTTAAATTCCATCATTTGCTTTATTATTACTTAGCATATGTCTACATGGTGTTACAAAAATCACAAAAATCATAACATATGACATGTCACGGTGTTACTGTTACATCGAATAATTTCTTCTTATATTGGTATTTTTTTGTTTGTTGATTTGGATTATGAGATTGGGCTGTATGTTCTAATTTTCTGGCCCAACCCAAGTTTTTTGGGCCTCTTGTATTCCTTTAGCTTTTGGGCTTCGTTCAGTGAACAGAAACCGAAATCAAACTTACATCTTTGATTTTTTTTATTTTTTATTTTAATAATGAAAACTACATCTGGACTAACATGAATTGAACAGAGGAACATATAGTATTTGGGTTCGACTGTTCCAAATTTCACCCATTTTATCCCATGAACTATAACACTAATCGAACTTAACCCCCCCAAACTATATTTTGAGCCCATTGGGTGTGTTGGAGAAGGTGACTTTTGGAGGACCATTTGGGGGCTGATGTGTTCCCGATTTTTGGGGAATATCTATTTTTGATGGAAGATAAGTGGGTTTCTATATGCAACAATGCTGACATGTGTGGTGGTGGTGTATCCCCTCCTTTGTGGCCACTATGGTGCGGTCTCTGTCCCCTTTGAGATTGACTGTGGCTTTGTATTGTAATTTGGTTTGATTTTGTGACATGGAAGACTATTATACTATACTGTACTGGTTTTAATATCTTCCCTGTGTTTGTGGTAATTTTTTCCTTTGGTTGGCCTTTTTGACTTCTATATTCGCTGTTTGTTTCCTCCCCATTTATGGGGTTTTGAATGAACATGATTGATTACGACAAATATATATATTTTGATCCATTTAGCACCTGAACTAATTTATATTGCCAATTTCAGACCTACCCTTAGATTTAAGTCAATTTAATCCAAATTGCTATTAAAAATGACACATGAGGCCCACGTGTAACCTAATTTGAGGGCAATTTGGTCCTTCTAACCTTCTCCCTCTCAAAACCCATCGTCCCCCTTTCCCTGAAAACTTGAAAAGCAAACTAGAAAAAGAAAATGAAGTCTGCAGCCCAAAAATATAAAATATGCAGAGAAATCAAGTTCTCCATTTGGTAACTCTATCTGTGCCAAAATACTCCGACTATTTGTGATTATTTTGTATATCAAAACCAGCTATGCTTGGTTGATGTGAAAACGGAAGAAAACTAATCCCCAATTAAACAAAACAAAGTGCAGTTGTGTGCCCTTTGATTTATGTTTGTTTTTGCTTTATGAAAAATGTAAAACACCCATCTCAGTAATACCAAATTCTAATAATGTTCGGAACTACAACTTTTTGGGTAGCCAAATAGATCCTTAACTTTATTTTGGATAGAATAGCTATGTAAGTTTTGAATTTTCTTTTTATTTGGGAAATGAGTTGAATTTACTCCATCTGTTTTGCAGTTTGAGCGGAAATGGGTTAAGAGGGAAAGGAAGATGGGAATTGGGAGAGAAAGGGGTTAGAAGGGACCAAATTGCCGATATAAATTAGTTCGATGCTAATTGTGAAAAGTTTTGTTCTTGGTTTACGGCAATTTGGATGAAATTGCCTTAAAACCCTATAACGCTGTGGCTATATTATTTTTAAAAAAAATCCAATTTTTTTAAGAAACATTAATAAAATCGAGTATGGCCGGTCGGTTGTACTATTTTATAAACAAAATAAAAAACATTGTATAGCCGCGCGGCTATACTATTTATATATTAAAAACAGGACCCGCTTAACGCTAGGAGCCACCTGTCAAAATAGAAACGCCGGGCGGCTATACTAGGAAAAAAACTAAGTATAGCCACCCGGAGATACTATTTTTTAAGAAAATTACAAAAAGAAAAACCCAATAAAGCCGACCGGCTATACTATTTTTAAAAAAATTAAAAAATCGAACACAGCTGCACGGCTATACAATTTTGAAAAAAAAAGTAAATCTAGTATAGCCGTGTGGCTATACTATTTATAAAAAAAAACAAAAGAAGAACAGCCCAACGAATAGGCGCCCACGTGTGAAAATCAGTATAGCTGGGTGTAGGGGCTTTTTTTCTTCCGGCAACTACTACGGGCCTGACTGCCGTAAAGGGCAAAATGGAAGAAATTGCCCCTTGAGCCTGAGTTCGAAAATTAAGCCCCAAAATACCTCGAAAAGGCAGTAGAGCCTTAGGAAGTATTTTGGTTATCTTCACCAACGAGAATAATGGTAACTTGCAGATAGTTTTGGCATGCTTACAGATAGTCTTTTCAGCTCAGCATGAGTGGCATGTGGCATGGGAGCAAAATCAACATGGGTTTAGCACTAAGAGAGAAATTAGGCTTGGTTTATGAGAAAAGAAAGTGTTTAAGTAAGGAATGAGGTGTTTTGTGAGGAATTCGACTAGGGAAAAAGGAAAAAGAAAGGCAGAGTTCTTCTGGCAGCTGCCAGAAAAACAAATTGGAGAAGAAGATGAACAGTGCACGAGTCTGAGTTTTGCAAGATAGAGAGAAAAGCTTGCTCTCTGCAGGTTGTGAGTTGTTTTTGTTGGGTAGGGGAAGGCTCAATTTATAGCTGCCGGAAATCACCAATCTTCAAGAAACCCTAATGGCTTCTATTTACTTTGGCTAAGCTTTTCTTCCTTTCTCCTCCCCTTCTCTAACTTCCCTTTCTTGGCAAAGATTGCTTCTGTCTATCTCTGGCTTGAGACTGGTTTCCAGCAGCTTTGCTTAAGGAGTCTGCCATCTGCTCTTCACGTGTCCTCTGCTTTCTCCAAAAGCTGAGGTTTTTTGTGGGCTATTTTAGGATTTTTATATGGGCCAAGGTGATTTCCTAAGCAAAAGGGCTTTTACTAAACATTGGGCTTCTTAGTTTGGACTTTATTTTGGTTGGGTTGTTTTGCTTGGGTATTTGGCTACTTTTCTTTCTTGTGCTTACCCATATGTTTGGGCCTAAGAAACGGGCTTGAGTCTCGAGGCTCCCAAGCAACCCGAGACTTTCCATTTCTCGGTCCATCAATGGGTCTCATGTTGATTTATCACCATCCATACCACAACCCACTCAAGCAAGCCCCGGGTATTTGAGTGGCTTGGGGCCCACTTAAGCTTGTGGCGTGATTAGGTGCGGAATGATAATTCCTAGCTTAGCGTGGCGTGTCGTTTAGCGTGGCATGTGTGCAAGCGCATATGATGAACTTTCGCATGCCCAAATCAGGTTTCTTCTTGGTAAAGCATCACATTGGGCCGAGAACTTATTTGGGCCGAACCGTGAATATTTTGGGCCTCAACACTGGGCGGCGGTCCTATTTTTGAAAAAAATTTAAAACAACCGGTTATCGCCTCCCAGCTATACTATATATATATATATATATAAAGCAAAAGTCAGATAATGGTGAAACATTTAAAACACCAAAAAATGTCCTTGGTTAATTTAAACATTAAGAATTGAAATTATTAATTAAACGAGGATAATATAGTAAATTCACTTTTTCATATTAAAAAACTTAAAAATAAAAATAAAATCAGATAATAGGTCATACTTTTATGGAACATAACTACTCGTGTTATCTTTTCTTAATTCTAAAAATAAAATAAAAAATAAAAAAGAAAACCAATTGGCACTGGGGCTCTTGTATATTAAAAAAAAAAGGACCTACTTAGCGCTAGGCGCCAAGTGTCAAAACTATAAAGTCGAGGGCTATACTATTTTTTAAAAAATTAGTGAAGAACGGGTATAGCCGCGTGACAATACTCTTTTTTTTAAAAAAAAAAAGGGGGGGGGGGGGGGAAAAACATAGTATAGCCACCCGACTATACTATTTTTTAAAATAAAAAACCTTTATCCTTCTCTCAGAAATACTATGCAGCTAGAAAAAGCAATACAAATGCAATTCAACAGAAGCAATCCAAACTACAAAGGGACCAGACCAGCCACTATTTAACCTCAAGCCTTGGAGTTTCAACTTCAAAACCACCTTAATTAGCTGATACTCATAAAATATTTAAAATAGAGCCAAAGAATAGGGGTTTACAGTTTATTTTGGCAAAAAGGAAAGGGGGTTTACGGCTACTAGAGAACATAGAGCGTGAAGAAATTATTAAATTTTCATGTTGGCAAACATTAAATATTTCCCATGTTTGTTTCGATAGTAATTTTAATCCAATTTATTAATACTACCATGTTATTTGTTCCAAAAGCAGTCATAAATGTGTTTTTTTTATAGTCAAAAGAGGTGAGCTAATATTAAACAAAAAACAATCATAGGCTCGGAGACAAAGAGATTGTGGGCTAATATTTTTTGGAGTAGGATTAGCTTATAACATTTGTACTAAGTTTAGTATTTTAAAAATTTTACACCGTACTATAGCCCAGCCTAGCTTGTACATGGATCCGTTCTTATTCAGGGGGGGCAAAGTGAGACTCAAATACATTTTCAGGGGGTATATAAAAAAAAAAGCAAAATATTAATACAGAAAGAGAAAATGGAATGGGAAAGTCAATAAAAAATTAATCACAATATATCATTATATTACAAATATATATATATATAATTAATTTGTTTAATTTTAGACATCCATTGTACTCTAATCTAATTAGGGGTGGTTGCGGTTCGGTAACCGCGAATGTTTACTCAAACCGCAAACCGACCGACTATTTGCGGTTTGGTGATTTTTGAAACCGCAAACCGACCGTTTTGCGGTAAACCGCAAAATGCGGTCGGTTACCGCGAATTAGCGGTTTAAAACCGCGAGTTCTCAAGCATTCACAAAAATATAAATTCACAACCTAAATAAATAAATACACAACCTCAATTTCTCAAACATATATAAATTCACAATCTCCTCAACTTCTCAAGCATTCACAACCTAAGAAAATTAAAGTTACAATTCCAAGCATTCCAATTAAAGTTAAACTTCTCAAGCATTCCAATTCCAAATCCTTTAAAGTTATAAACCAAAAGGAAAATGCAAAGCAAAATGAATTAAAGTTACAACAAAAAAGAAAAATCCAATTCAAAGTTAATTAAAGTTACAAACTAAAAGGAAAATGCAATGCACCAATGTTACAAACTAAAGTTACAAACTCAAGTGTTGGTGGTGAGTGGATTTGAAGAACTCTTTCCTTGTAAAATTCAACTTCATCATCCGTGTGGCTATACTTTGCGGTTTGCGGTAACCGCAAGTTTTGAAAATCAAATACCGCAACCGCAACCGCAATGCGGTTCGGTTCTTAATACCGCAAATGCGGTTCGGTTTACCGCGATTGCGGTTTCATTGCGGTAAATTGTCGGTTGGTTTTTGCGGTTTTTCGGTTTTTCGGTTTAAAATGCCACCCCTAAATCTAATGGTTGAAAACTTGTGTCAAATAAAATAAGAATAATTATCCGGTAAAAGAATATTTTTGTTAATAAAATCGATTCTATGATGACGTTAGTAGGTGCTTAGTTTCCACATCATCAAACTGCTCGGCAATCCTTGACAATTTGACATTTTGTCGTCCAAAATATCCAATAAGGCCTTGTTTTTCTTTATTTCCGATTCAAAGACATTTGAATATTTTAAACGTATAGCCGACCGGCTATACTCTTTAGATATATTACAGACGAACACGAAGCTTGCACTCGCATAGTACGGAACTTGCACTCGCAATCAAGCCATTTCGCTTCTTTATCAACTCAAGCTTCGATTTGTTTTCTTCGGTTGTGCCTGCTTCGTCCTCCTGGTTCGGCAACGAAAAAAGACCCAACCCGCCTAGGCGCCCGCCTAGCTACCGCCTAGCCGCCTAGAGCCCGCCTAGCTACCGCCTAGCCGCCTAGCGACCGCCTCGCGCCCTCCTAGCAACCGCCTAGCCTCCTTGCTCCTTCCTAGCGACCGCCTAGCCGCCTAGCCTCCCGCGTAGGCCGATTTTTCGAACACTGCGATTGACTGAAAGTCTGAAACAACAATGGCCTCTTTCAGCGTCCTTTGGCTTCTTTTCCAGTCTATGCTTTCTCAGCTGCTTCTGGAGTTTGACTCATGGTTGCAGATATTGACGATGCAGAGGTAGGCAGATAATTATATATATATATATATATTTTGCTCTTGCTTTTCTTGAGTTTGAATCGTGGTTACCCATTTTTCTCAAGTTGATGAATAGAAGGTAGATGCTCAAATTCCTCAATGATGATTTGAATTTAATCTACATATCAATGCTCTTGGAATATCCTTTCATGGTTATTGTGAAAATTTTTGTTCTTGGTTCATGACAATCAACCACATTTTCTATGTTTGAAAATAAAGGGTAAAAATTAATGAAAGACAATAGCAGTGATCCTGAAACTGAAAGCTACCCCCTGCCCATGATCCATCAGCTTTCTTCAAGATCACTTCCATCATAGACACTTGGTATATAGTGCTTGGTCTAGACTTATCTGTAAACTGCTGTCTTTTTTATTTGGATTTGTATATGATTGTTGCTTCAATTTTTTATGTTTGGAATTTTGACATGGAAGGCATGATGCATGTGGTTTGTAGGTTATTGGGTACCTTAACATCAAGCAGGCGGTGCTGTTCAAAAGAATGATTTGGGAAGCAATGAACAAGGACTATGATAAGGTAATGCCTTTGGAAATCCATAAATTTTATCATATATGTGTTCACAAAGATTTAGTGCAATGCTAGGGGTTTTCTTAGTTTCTGTTTGTTCCATGTTTTCTTTTTATTTGTTGTCTATATTTTTGGCTTTTGAGTCTTTAGATTGAAAATCATTGAGATTAAGTAGTTAATCATGATTATCAGCCCCTGCGTTATTTGCCTCTTCATTCTCCTTAGCTCTGTGATTGTGCGGGAATTCTTCACTTTTAAAACTGACCTCTTTTCTTGTATTTGAGTTTATGTTTGCTGCATGTCATATGTGCGTTGTGATCTGAAGCATAGGCTTGGAAGTCTCATCCAGCTTAGAGTTCTTGCCCAGTTCTGAGCTGTTATTGGAGTCACACACTGCATAACTGTGTTGAAAGTTTTCACTTCAATCTTATTTGCATTTGACTTATCTTTTGTTCTTTCGACTATCTGTGTATGTTTTACTGCTAGCATTGAGTCTTATGTATTGATCTCTATATGCAACTATAAAATTGGCAGGAAAAGAGTAGAAAACGAGCTAGAATGGCCAAGAAAGCTACTCGTGCTAAAAAGCTAGAAAAGGCTGTCAAAGTTTCTACTGTGATGGATACGAAGAATGTAAGTTAATAAACTGGTTTATGGAATTTTTGGTGCTTAAATTTTCCTGCAATGTTGATTGTCCTATGCATAATTTATTTAACAGATACTAATGTGACATTTTGTTCTTGCAGAGGCTGAGTTCAAAAATCAACTATGATGCTTTGGATAAATTAAATGGAGAGCTTGTAAGCAAGTTTTATATGTCTTGTTTTAAAATCAATTTTGCTTTTTTTTTTTTTTGGCAAATCCCATATTATGTTCTGTCAACATCCAAGGTCTCGTTAACTGATGCACAGACTAGAAGCGACTAAAAGCCAATCAAATCTAATGGCACATTTAATTTCGATTGTCAAATGATGTTACTTTTTCAATATAGTTTTTGTTTTCTTAATGTCTGGTTAGTGGGCAGATGCCAAATTCCTGTTTAATGGAATAAAGGTATATATAGGTGTCACAAACCATGGCAAGATAGAACTTAATACGTAAAAGAATGATCAATTGTGCTGGTTGTTTACTTATTGGCAATTAAGGTTAATAGTTTTTTTTTGCCATGCAATGTAGTTCCTACCTAGATAGAAATCCTGGTAGGTTTTAGAGAATAGAGGTGTCATTCTGCCAGTAATTGCTAGAACCTTTTCTAATTTTTTTCCCCATGTGTACAATCAGGGTTATGCACCAGGTGATATGCAACTGTCAAATGAGAAGAAGGCACAAAGTCTAATTGTGGCAATCCAGGTGATATGCAACTGTCAAATGAGAAGAACAATTTTGAAGGCAGTCAGGATGATGATTTTGAGCATGAAAGTAATGGATACAGTGAAGAGGCTGAAGCCAGACAAGGCCATGATGATGATACATATGTTGCAAATGACCAATATAATGGATGCAACTATGATGACGAATACAATTATGATGAGGAATGCGATTTTGACGAATTATGACTCAAATAAAAAATGATTCAGTTGTATCATGTTGCGATCAAAAGGTTAAGCAATTAAATCTTCTGGTTTTTGATAACTTCTTTGATTGGTATCAATCTGAGAAGAGATGCAATTGAGCGTTGCTTGCATGTCAAACTATGTGAACTATAACCATGAGCACAAATTTGTAAATTGAAACATTGAATGGTTGGTTCCAAGTTGTTCACACTTTATTTAGTGTAGAGAGAAGCACCAGTTTGACAATAATATTTCCCCGACATTGACAACACCAAAAGACTTCTCAATATTATATACAAGTCTGATGAAAATTTGATAATTGATTTGTATCTCAAACTGTGAATTTATATAATTCAATTAAATTTATTCACTGTTGAAAAATCTTTACATAGGAACACAGACTGAATTATCTCGATTCCAACTTCCAAGCTGTTCAAATTTTGGTAGCGAGAGCAAGGTACTTGGTATGACGGGCTTGAGCTATAATTTTACATGTCTTCTTCTTCCTTAACTCAACACTGGCAACACCAATTGCCTTCCAAACTCGTAAAGCCTTGGCCTCAATCCCAACTTCCTCACCAGGGTAAGCATAGGCTGCACCGTGCATGAAATTGCCTCTTTTCAGCAAACGAGGAGGTACTCTGAAGGAGCAAACAATACGACCGGGTTCAAGGAGATCAACTTTAATGTTTTTCATGATAAAGGACTCAAAGAACTTGTCTGGCAGCCCATCCATTGTCATTGCCATTTCACCTTCATTCTCGAAGAACTTCTTCACTGACTCTATACTTGTTTCCTCATTTCTCCAGAAGCCTTAGCCATAAGAGAAACAACAAATAAAGAGTCACATTCAACATCAAGGGTCCTGATACCCTTAGCCCATGCCATTTGCAAACCTCTAAGGAGACTCCGTAACTTAACCTCTGAAGGAAACATGCATTTTAGATCTTATTAAGCCTAATGCTACCAAATTTCAAGTATATCTTTCCAGGTCTAATCTCCTAAACCCTAAAGGATGAGACTTTCTTATCCTTGAAGCTCTCTTAGATGGTCTCCAAGTTTTCACCTTTGGAAATGCCTTCTTCCTTGTTGCTTGTTTCATAGAGTCTTCACAAGGTACCAAAGTAGATACCCTTTAGTTTATACACACAAATGTAGTGTAAGAGACGAAGAAGATAACCAAAAGGAGGTGAGGTGCTAGCCCTCTCCTCTTGGTGGCCGGTTCTAGCATGGTAGTGTGGAGATTTCTCTCCTCTCAAACCCACTCCAAAGTTGGATTCTACAAACCCTAGATAGAAAATGGTCTAAGTGTGGCTTATATAAGCCAATACAAAAGATGAAGTAAAACCCCATCCTTGTATTTCGGCCATAGTGTTTCCTGGGCTCCTCTTGGGCTCATTTAATTTATGTTGTCATACAACACATGTTTCTAAGCCCAACAGACCCTTTGACTATTTCACAATTTGGCCCAACATGCATTTAAAGCACAACTGATTCCAACGGTCAAACTAAATTCATAATTAACAAATTAATTATGATTTGTGACTTAATCATTAAGTCCTAACCGTAGTCCGAATAGTTTGACTTGGTCAACTATTTTGGTCAAACACATTGACTTTGACTTTCAACGTCTTATCTTCTTCATTTGTTACTCTTATTACATTTATTGGTGGACGATCTCTTAGGTTCCAATTAGTAAGGTAGTGGGAAAGGCTGATTCATCCAAACCCAGTGTGAATTAAATTTAATTCTCTCTATTAAAGGCTAATTATATTTAGATCTTACAGGGCTTCCACAAAACATGAGTGATACATAATAGTATGTTATGGCCACCCAAGCGAAGTAGAAAATGTGAAGAACCTATTCAAGTTGCATCGCTGTGTAATCAAGTCCTATATTGTAATGCTCATAATTCATATTATGGGGGCATGTATACTTTTGTCAAAACCCTAATATGAATTCTCCACTTATATAATTACATAGGTTATGTTTAAAAAGTTCTTTTCTAATAATATCCGATACTTTGTAAAGATTTCTCAATCATATATTTGGAGCATTCTCTCTCCTTACTGAGAACATAAATCACTTGTTGTACATTTGTTTGTGCAAAAATCCTCGCAAGAGAATATTCGCTTTGTGATTCTTCAACCTTTGATCTTCCTTCTCTCTCTTCCTTGATTCCTGTAAAAAATACTGGAGTAAATAAACCACACCGGGGGGGTGTTGGCCAAAGGCCCTCCGATGCCTAAGTTAGTTCGAGTGTTTGTGGGAAAACAATAACTAACAAAAGGGTATGGAGATATATGTATGGGGTAAACCGGGTGGCCGGAGCCTTGTGGAGAAAATATAGAGAGTGGAGAGGGAGAGAGAGCTTCGGGTATTTTTCTAGGGTTTAGAAGTAGGTTGTTTGAAGTACCTTGAATGATGAATGAAGTCATCTATTTATAGGAGCCTTGGGGTTAGGGTTTCGTAGAGAATAAACTCTTATTTGGAGGAGTTTATTCTTTACCCAAATTCATAGAGGTTGAGTCAGACTTAATTACATCTCTTGCTAAGATAATATCTGAATTAATGATATTATCTTTATTAATTGTAAGATAATATCCTAAAATTAAGATATTATCCGAATTAATTAATTAGCCAAATAATTGGTTCAATTAATTAATTTAAGGGATAATCTTCTTTTCCACGTGACGCGTTGTGATTGGAGACGAAAATATTTGCTCCCACAACATTCACTTACCTATGTACCTCAACAATATTTCCAAAAATTAATATTTTGACCAGAAATTGTTGGCCTAGCCGGAATCGAGGCAAAGTGAGATAAATATGTGTGAAAAATGGAGTAAAGTAAGACAAAATGAGTTACAGGGACAATGACGGATCCAGAAATTTTATAAAGGGTGGGCTAATATTTTTCTTGATTTTAGTGACTCCAAGTAATATATATATATATATATATATAATAACATTTAAAATATTCAAAACCAGAAAGTAACAAATAAAATAATAAAATAACATCTTTTAAAAAAAAAAATCTAAAGCAAACATTTCTCCTTCTATTGGAAATACTATGCAGCTAGAAGAAGTAATGCAAATGCAATTCAACATAAGCAATCCAAACTACAGAGGGACCAGACCAGCCACTATTTAACCTCAAGCCTTGGAGTTTCAACTTCAAAACCACCTTAACTAGTTGATACTTGTAAAAATATTTAACGTAGAGCCAAAGAAGAGGTGTTTACAGTTTATTTTGGCAAAAAAGGAAATGGGTTTTACAGCTACTCGGGAACATAAAGCATGAAGAAATTTTTAAATTTTCATGTTGGGAGTGGCAGACATTCAATATTTCCCATGTTTGTTTTGATATTAATTTATTATTACTACCATGTTGTTTGTTCCACAAGCAATCATAAATGTGTTTTTTTAACTGAAAGGTGAGCTAATATTAAACAAAAAACAATCACAGGCCAAGAGACAAAGGGATCATCGGCTAATATTTTTTGGAGTAGGATTAGCTTATAAAATTTGCACTAAGTTTAGTATTTTTAGTATTTTCACACTGTGCTAGAGTCCAGCCTAGTGTGTACATGGATCTGTTCTTGTTTAGGGGACAAAATGAGACTCAAATACATTTTCAGGGGTTATATAAAAAAAATATATAAATAAAAAAAAGCTAAATATTAATACAGAGAGAGAAAATGGAATGGGAAAGTCAATAAAAAATTAATTACAATATATCATTATATAAAAAATTAGTTTGTTTAATATTAACCTTTCATTGTACTCTAATCTAATGGTTGAAAACCTTTTTTTTTTTTTTGGTCTGAATAATGGTTGAAAACTTGTGTCAAATAAAAGAAGGATAATTATCTGGTAAAAGAATAATTTTGTTTAAAAAAATCGATTCTATGATGACGTCAGTCATAGTAGGGCTTAGTGTCCACATCATCAAACTGCTCGGCAATCACCTTTGACAATTTGACATTTTGTCGTCTAACGAATCGAAGACAGTTGGAAAAGTGGCAACCATCTGATCATATGCCACTTGGAAAGAACAGAAAAAAATCTATGCAAGACTAGTGAATTCAACGTAGTCTTGAGGCTGAGGTTGTCATGTCAATATATAGTTTACCATTATTGATAGTAATGGAATCTTTCTCAGTGACCCAAAAAATCTTTCTCAGGAGCCAGCGCTTGTGTACAATAACATGATCGATTCGAGGAGGATGTTGAAGCAACCATGGCATCTTTCAGTGTCCGTTGCCTTCTTTTCCAGCCTATGCTTCGAGTTTCAGGTGTCCATGGCACAAAAGACCGATCCATCTGAAGGTAAACTAGCCATGCTTTCCAAAGTTGGACATATTTCTAAGCATCTTTTAAATACAGAGTACATATATGTTGTTTTTTCCTTCCTCCTTGTGATTTCTGGACAGTCTAGTAACATAAGTACGTAATGTGATGTGTACACAACGATTGAATTGAGAGTGCAGTGAGGGCGTTGAACTCAATATTCGAGCAATGGGACACGCAAGCCGTGCCGGGGCTGTGGAATATCAGTGGAGATCCATGCAGTGGATCTGCCGTTAATGGAACTCCCTTTGAGGATCCAGCTAATAATCCATCCATCAAATGTGATTGTACTTATGAAAAAAATACTACCTGCCACATCACCAAACTGTACGTTACCCTCCTCTCTCTCTCTCTCTCTCTCTCTCTCTCTCCCCATACTCTTTAGTCTTGTGTTGTTGACTGTAGCAACTCCATTAATTATGTGTTAGAAAACTAAGCAGATCATGCCTGATATATCAATTGTAATATTAAGTGCCTAACTGCTCAATCTTTTTCTTTCCAGGAGAGTTTTTGAACTGAACAAACGAGGGGTGTTTCCAGAAGAATTTGTGGCTTTAAGATATCTGACCTTTTTGTATGAAGTTTTTCCAACCCCTTCTCTGTTGTTCGGTTTATCACAGTTTACATTTTCATATAGAAGACACAGGTTTCTTACCGTTCAAAATTGTCACCAATATTTTTTATACTTGGACATTAATCGCTGGTCATTTCATTTTGTTTCAATTCTTGTAGGAAAATTGATCAGAATTATTTCACCGGTCCCCTACCAGCATTCATCGGCAACATGTCTGCGTTGACGATATTGTAAGTAGTGAGAGAGCATTTATTTAAGTTTTGGTAGAAATTTTTTATCTGTCAAATACTTTGATGGGTCTCATTCCCTTGTACATAGATCTCCCAAGTGAGTATTACACCATACGGTAAAACAAGCACATAGTAGTATACAGAAAATTATTCTGTTTTTATCCTGAATTATAAACAGGTGCTAATATCTTTAATTGATATATTTCCAATCAGGTCAGTTGCCATCAATTCATTCTCTGGACCCATCCCAAAGGAGCTTGGAAACCTTAAGGAGCTAACTATCCTGTAAGCAATGCAACATGACCAAACACAATTAAATTTTGTGTTTTACAAATATGAGAACTACTGTATTGAATTGAAACATGTTAGATATAGAGTCCCCTATCATTTCTGATTATTGCTTTTATTTAATTTTATACCTTTTCAACATGACTTGTGCAGGTCCTTTGAATTTAATAATTTCTCTGGAACACTCCCTCCAGAACTTGGTAATTTAGTCAAGCTCGAGAAATTGTGAGTGCTTCATTGAACTCATCGAATATGAATCACGTGTTGCAATGTGTTTTTAATTTTTCACTAAGTAATGGTTTGTTCGTCATTATCGATAAGCAAGGAATGCATTTATCCTAAGAAATTGGTAGTAATTAGTTTATGATTTTCGCAGGTACATGGAAAGCTGTGGACTCAGTGGTGAAATTCCTTCAACATTTGCTAAGCTCATCAACATGCAAATCCTGTAAGAATGGTCCTTAAGTGGTGTTTTAAGTTTTTTGTTTATTCAGT